AGACATTTCTGATTCCCCACTCCTTCAGGCAAACCTTCTTAAGGAGGATCTGGACTCTGCTCTTGGCTCATATTTGTCCGTATGGAATCCTACACTTTAGACCCATTATTGGTGGGGGTTGGATATTTTTCAGACACAGCCCTCTTTTTTTTTTAGCTTTATTTAGTAACATTGGTTAGCACTATTTAGCTTTTTAGATATATTACATGCCAATCCACTTGGTCTTTAAGTTGAGTGAGAAACACATCAGATAACCTAACTAAACATCTTTGAACATTCTCTCACTGGATACTAAATCAGGAGAAAGCATCCTTTTCCCATTGGTGTGGAGGAAGAAGGATGGGGGTAGGATTCACACCAGGGCTCTGGCCAAGAAATCTTTTCTCCAGTCTCTAACTCTGACATGGGTAAAGTGCTGTAGACCAAAGCATTCTACTTCATTTGGAAGTGTGGAAACAATGGCTCCAGTTTTGTATCCTCAACTGAAGGTGAAACTGAAATTGTTTATTTTAATGTGACTGGTTAAATGGTTCTTTAATCAAATGCCAAATTCATTCATGATATAGCCAATTTTCTTCTGCTTTATTACAAATAAATAAAACATTTTTCATTAAATATTTCCCATTTCATTGCTCTGAATATAGAACTCTTAGCCAAATGCTAATTCAAAATTTATATTTCTTTTTTTAGCAGTGAGTAGACTGTCAGCGGCACTAAAATATCTGTGCCCAACATTCTCCCACTGCCCCAACTAGAATTTCCCATAAGGTCCATCTCCCTTCAAATTAATTTAGTAAAAGAGAAAACAAGACCAGCATTGTTGACTTTTCCAATACTATTGGAAGTTAGCCTGCTGGAAGGACATATGTACCCCCGAGTATGTCTTTAGCAACATTTCTGGAGAAACACACACACACACACACACACACACACACACACACACACATATATATACACAAAGTCTCCAGAGACTTGTTTGAGGCTAGGATTCAAATTTGTTCATTTTCCATCTTTTTCTTAACTCCTTTTCAATATCTTGCTAAGTCCTGAGAAACATTGACAATGTAAGTACATCCTGTACACAGTGAAGTGACAATGGTTTCCTAAAATCCGGTGACAAATACAAACAACCAAAAAGGTCGCTTATTTAAAAGAAGTACAGTTTCAATGTTTGGTTTCCCTCAATAAAGCTTGTTTCAGTATATCTTCAGATAATCCCAGAAACTCCTAGAATATATGTGCAGGGAATTTTCCACACCCACCGGTTTTCACAGATAAAGTTCAAGTTTAGCTTTGAAAAGTGAAACAGGTGCTCGCTTCGGCAGCACATAAACTAAAATTGGAACGATACAGAGAAGATTAGCATGGCCCCTGCGCAAGGATGACATGCAAATTCGTGAAGCGTTCCATATTTTTATATAAAATAACAAAATATGAGATTAATACCCAAGAATAGCTGAGATCAACACCAGGAGGATTACTCCATAGCTTAGAGGCCAGCTGTGTATTCTAGGGGAAAGGACAGTTCAGATAGAGAAGGGAGCACCAAATGGAGGGTGTTTGGAGGATCCTCCCAGGAGGGGAGATGCAGGTTGAAAGTAGACTGGACTGAACATGTTTGCCACTCAATGCCTCTTTTGCTGATCACAACACCCAAAAGGAGAGAGAAAACAAAAGGAAATGCCCTGCCACAGTGGCAGGGGGGGGATGGGGGGAGTGGGGGGGGGAGGGATATTATCCTTGGTGGTGGAAAATGGGCACTGGTGGAGGGATGGGTATTTGATCATGGTATGATCGAAATCCAAGCACAAAAATTTGTAAGTCTACAACTGTACCTCATGGTGTTTCACTAATAAAAATTTAAAAAAAAAAAAAGAAAAGTGAAACAGGTTGAAGGTCACAAGTAAGAGGCCAATTTTTAATTGCTTAGGCCTGGGAGAACCCTGGACTGAATTTAATCAGAGAACTAGAGTTTTCAAACATGCTCTCTAAATTCCTGGAGGCAATTTATGTAATTATATTGGCACATGTATTTTTCCACTTTAATAACAAAGCCATGAAATCTTTATGTTCACAGACAAATCTTAAATATAGTAAAAGGAAAAATAGTATGCCAATATAAAATCACAAATTCCAAAGAGGGGTTTGATTCTCTAAATTTTTCCCTTCAGAGTCGGTAAGAATTCATTGCAGATTGAGGAAAAGAAAGGCAGAGTTCTTCTTTGCCAAGTTGCTTGCTCCACTCAAGACTTGGTTTTATTCAGACACAAGATGCTTTATTAGTCAAATCCCCTCCATTCAGCTTTGATATTTTGAGCCTAACTGGATATGAGCACAGCATACATTCGTCGGCAGTTTTTGCTTGCACTGTGCATACATCTTTGATCAAGACCAGCTGAGCACACTGTTCTAAGTAGGCAAACTTGGCAGATTTCTGAATCTTGGCTGTTTTATCAAGGCTATGGGATTCATACCACTTTCTACAAATTTTCGTTCATGAAAAAATTCAATGTAAATGTATATAAGGGAAGTACAGTAAAAACAAATCATTTCTGTTCCTTTTAATCATGGCAAAATAGACTGAACACAAATTATGGTTTATAAATTCTAAACTTATGATCACAGTCAGAACCCATAAACCATAAATGCCAAGTAAACACACAGCAAGTTAAATGTCAGAATCAAATAAAATATGCATCAAAATTAATGATATGTATTTAATGATATACATAATCACACTCAAGTAATTGCTCAAGTGGATGGAATGAGGCAAAAGACGATTTTACTAACCTCTCCAATCAACTGGCTTTGATGACCTCCCAGCAACTCTAATTCTACTCCAACTCTCAGAAGACAAAGGCTCTGGTCTTACAGGAAAGGTCCAAAGGCCAGAAATTCTCATTTATTCTGACATTCTTCCCACAGACCAAAACAGGCCAGCAAATGGGATGGAAAGAACGATCTCCCTGAATAATTCCTGCTCAAAGGTTCAAATAAACAATCCACACTCCCCAAATCAGACCTTTCACTGGTATAATTCTATATACTTCAGAGTCAGGAATCATTTCCTGAAAGGATGATCCCCAAAAAGACTTGCATCTTTGTGCTGTGAGATGGGGCGATCTATTGGGATGGCAGCATCAAGTTTGAGAAACTAACTTCTGGTGCAGACTGATTACTTGTTTTGCTTTCTTAATAACAACTATCAAAATAAATGGAAGTCTAAAAGAATGTGAAAGTATAATATAAAATATAAAGGGCTTTTTTTTTTTAAAAAAAAAGTATCATACAAGAAAAGAGCTTTTCAGTGGTTGGGCACAAAGGTCAGTGGTAGAGTGCATACTTCATTTGTATAAAGGCCTGAGCTGGATCCCCAGTAAACTCTCTCCCATCGTCCCCACCAAAAAAGGGAATGATCATCTTTTCACAGTCCTACTCCTCTAAACCATTCATCATTCCCCATCCACTCCCAGTGATATTTATAATTTGTGAGGCAGCAGAAGGACATTAGCAATTTGGCTCTGTGATGCCTTTCCTTGGGAAAGCCCAGGGGTGGGTCTTGTTTAGATTAGAAGGAGGCATAGTACAGAAACTACTTAGTACATAGACTACTTAGGGATTTGGCCTAGAGTGAACTACACCCAGGAGGGAATTCAGATGCATTCCAACATGAAATTCCAACTTTTTACCCAGCTATAAGCATGCAAGAAAAAGAGAGGAAAATTTCTATCTCATCTGTGCTGACTGGAACCCAGGTTGGCCACATGCAAGGCAAGCTCCCTACTGTTGTACTATCTCTATGGCTTCTCATCCTGTTTTTGAAATAAAAAAGGTAAAAGGTAAAGGCCCTCCCGTTGTTCATCGATTTGCTCGAGCGGGCCCAGTAACATCTCCATTGGAGATTTTGTTGTTACTGTGTTTGGCATATCGAATACATCACGGGTAGCTTGCCAGGCTCTGCCCTGCGGGCGAGATACTCTTGGTAGCTTTCCGGGCTCTCTGAGAGAGGCGGAGGAATCGAACTCGGGTCAGCCATGTTGGCTGCGTGCAAGGCAAACGCCCTACCGCTGTGCTATCGCTCAAAGCGTTTTTTAAATAAGAAATTTTATATAAAGTCGGAATTGCTAGCTTCCCTGGAAACCCTGTAGATTTAGCATTACCATTTCAATCAACTGAAATGGATTAGTTATTTCACCCTTTATATTCAACAACGGCACGGCAAAGCCTGGCAAGCTACCAGTGACGTGTTCAATATGCCAAAAACAGTAACAACAAGTCTCACAATTTTTTGTGAGACATTACTGGTGCCCGCTCGAGCAAATCGATGAACAAAGGGAGGACAGTGCTACAGTGCTATATTCAACAACATGTCCTCTCTATTTGTCATAATCTCTGCCACTCCCTAATATATACTGAATTCCCATGTTTACTTACATTTCTAATCTTTGTGGGCATTTTAGATTGTATCTTGTGACTTATACCAACAGGGGAGTCTCAGTCTTCAAACTCTCAAGTATTACTTAATCATTACAGATTTCACATTTTGAGTGGTTTGTTATAATAAATTTTGTTGTACCCTTCCATCCCTCCTGCTCCAAAACTACAAATGTGTCACCATGACAAACCAATATACCTAACAATCATACAAGGCATTGTACAATGCTGTTATTGAATATACTGGAGCTAAGTGTGCCTTTAGATACACATAAGAAATTTACTGGATGATCTTTAAAATACAAACTGTGCCAAAACAGACCTAACATTCCCAGACTAAGCTGATATGAAAAGAGTTGTTAGCTCTGAAATTAAGATGAAGAGAGATGAAACAGAGATCAATATATCCTCACATAAAAAAAATTAATTGCGTACCATAGAATATCTTCAAAGAATCTCCTAATGGACTCAGTAAGGCAATGAGTGCACTGCCAAACGAGGACCAGCCTTTTCAGGTAAAAGTACATGTGTGTGTGTTGGAGAGAAAACAATACAAAACCACTTACCAGTTCCAGACATTGCCTGTGGCCATAGGCAGCAGCATAATGTATGCTATTGTAACCTTCCTTGTCCCGGATAGATGGATTTGCATCATTTTGAAGCAGAAACTCTAGACATCTGTAATCATAAAACATTAGTATTATTTTGGAAAACATATCTGAACCAAAAGGGATAATTAACATAAATTTCCTCCTCTTATGTTTCACAAAACATAAGGTTTTGTGGGTTTAAGTGTTTTTTAGAAATCCTACAACAATGATGTCTTATATACTAGAAACTGTGTGTGTGTGTGTGTGTGTGTGTATGGCATGTGCGTGCATGTATATATGTATCCTGTAGCTATTTCAACTTAATCATTCTAGAATTAGGAAAGGCTTTGAACAAAATTATCTGCTTTTGAAACATGAAAATAATTTGAGTGTTTTTCCCTTATTTAAGATACAGAAACTTCCTAGGATCAGGATTGCTGAATAATAAGTTTAAGAGTTTCATACTCAAAAAAGTCTCAAATGTGAAAAAGATGTACCCAAGCCACTGTAACAGGCCAAACCTCAAAAGAGGGAGAAAGTATTTTTTAACCTTACTTTTGGAAACTGTAAGATCAAAATATTGGAAAATGAAAGTTAAAACAGAGTAAGAAACCAAGTCCAAACAATAAAATTGATTTTATATGAACTATATGAACAGTCAAAACAATAAAAAGATTGGGTGAACATTTTAAAAATTGAAAGGATGGATTCAGTTATGCCATTAACAATATAGACTAGGGGCTGGAGCAATAGTACAGTGGGTAAGGCGTTTGCTTTGCACATAGCTAACCTGGGTTCAATTCACAGCATGATCACAGCATGATCCCCAGAGCACTGCCAGGAGTAATTCCTGAGTGCATGAACCAGGAGTAACCCCTGAGCATTGCCGGGTGTGACCCAAAAAGTAAAAAAAAAAAAAAAAGAACATAGACTAAAGGGGTCAAAGAAACAACAGAGGGGTTAAGGTACTTGCCTTGTATTCTGAAAAACCCATTTTAAATCTGTATCACCATCTAGGGTTCTCTGAGGATTGCCACAAGTCACTCCTGAGCACAGAGCAAGGAGTAGTCCCTGAACATTGTTGGTGGTGGCCCCAAAACAAACTACTACTACTACTACTACTACTACTACTACTAAACAGACTAAAGAATAGTAACATTTAAAACCCTTTTCTGTCAGAATTATTTATTTTTTAGGGGGCTACTCCTAGCAAAAGCCACCAAGTCTACACCCAGCAATGGGAAATAGAGCATGGAGGATCAAACTGAACTCCTCACACATGGCAAGCATGTGCTCAATTACTTAAACTACATCCCCCAAAGATGTAATTTTCATGAAAATGAGACAATTTGCAATGTGGTTAAAGGAAGCCTGTGGCTAAAAATCCTCCAACTCATGACACTAGGACTCAGAAAAAGAGTGAAATCTCTCAGGGTCTTCTGCAAATGACCCAACTCTTGGGCTGAGTGAAGAACTAGACAAAGAGGATTGCTATATAATTTCGAAGTATTTCCATGAAAGTGGGCCATCCAAGTCCAAGCCAATTCAATTTCATATTCAGATAAAAATGTTTAAGGTTTCTTTATAAGCCCGTGCACTTAATAAGGCCTTTTGATGGAAATTTTCTTTAGTTTCCTCAAAAATATCATTTACTTATCTTTTAACAAAAGGCAAAAAAAAGTAAGTAAATCCTATATAAGAAACCAAAAGGAAATATTTTTACATCTAGAAAAACCAAAGACATATTTTTAAACCAAATACATACATCTCACATTATTTTTCCATAAACTGCTCCATAATGAATCAAATGATTAATAAAGTTGTGATGTCATTTGTTGTCTTTGAGGTTTAAACCCCAAAAAAGGAAGACTTTTTTCTTTTTTTTTCCTTTTGGTAAATTAAATGCTCATGAATAGGATCCCAGGTGTGACTCATCTAAAACCAAATTTGGCTCTTTATATAAAGATCATTCATTAGGAACAGCATTTTAGTGGTCACATACCCCTAGCTTCTGAAAGAATCCACTCTAAATTTTCCATTCCAATAATACATGTCCAATATATAATAAATATGCCATTGACTAAATCCTTCAGTGATTCTGTTTTCTTTTTTATTTTAATATTTTCTTTTATACAGTAGTTCACAATATTTGATTACATTTAATACTCAAACACCAATCCCACCCCCATTACCCCTTCCAGCCACAATATTTTCGATGTTTCCATCCCAGACCCCAATCTCTGCCCCAAAGCAGTCACTGTCACTGTCCTCCCATTGTTCATCGATTTGCTCAAGCGGGCCCAGTAATGTCTCCATTGGAGACTTTGTTGTTACTGTGTTTGGCATATCGAATACGTCACAGGGAGCTTGCCAGACCCTGCCGGCGGGCGAGATACTCTCGGTAGCTTGCCGGGCTCTCTGAGAGGGGTGGAGGAATCGAACTCAGGTCAGCCATGTTGGCTGCGTGCAAGGCAAACGCCCTACCGCTGTGCTATTGCTCCAGCCCAATGGTTCAGCATGGGTGGTTCAGTGGTAGAATAAATTCTCAATAAGTAAAAGACAAACAAACAAACAAACAAAAAGTTATAGTTCACAACCTGCCCCAGACTCTACTCTAACTACACCCTCCCACAATCACCCAGGTCTGGGAGAGGAGGTCTCTGGGTCGGGGGAGACCCTGAGGTAGACACAAGCATTCAGGCCCTGGAGAAACTGGTTCCTCTGACAAATGAAGAGGAAAGCAGACACTTAAGGTCTGTGAATGTGCAGACCTAGAGTTTAATTCCACAGGCTCCCATGGGGATAGAACACAAAGTGGCACCATCCATATATTCATTTGTTCATTATTCAACAGTGGCTGAACATCAACTATATGCTGCATAGCTCTCTTTTCACCGTGATCTGCAGTGCAGGAAGGACACTGAAAGGATGAAGCATTAGCCCCTCCGAGGCATTAGCAGGGCTGGCTGATGGCTATCACTCTAGCCTTCAAATCACCATCACCTAAGAGATGAGTCTCTGTTAGAAGCCAGAGAGACTGGTGGGGTGAGATAGGAGCTGCTGTGTGCAGGGGGCTAGAGAACTTTTGAAAAATCTGTGTGTATGTGTGCTGGGAGAGAGGAACTTATACTAAAACACCTAAAACACGTATTTATGTAATTCACTTAATCCTTTCCCTAGGTCATAAATGGGGAGCCTAAGGCCATGAGAGAAGGCACAACATCATCTGAGGTGCATGAGACTTGTTAAAGTAGCAAATAATATTCAGATATCTAGTTCAAAAAAAACCACTGAACCATCTCTGCAATGCTTGCAACAAAGCTTACTCAGAATGAGTTCCCTTTCTGAAAACAGCATCATTGAAGGATGCATTCAATGACCTATTAATTATATATTGAATACATATATATAATTGAAATATACAATTCAATTATATCAATTGTTGCTTCTTTATTAAGGGCAGGACCACATTTCTTCCTCAGGATGCTATGTGAAATCTAAAATTCTCCAGGTGGCCTGACATGGCGACCCAGAGCAGCAGATAAAACACAACACCAGAGATACGGCAGGTGCTAAAAAGAAACTCACAGAGCAGCTTCTTTTTCCTTCACTTCTCTGGTTCCATCAAGTTCTTCTGAATGTTCATGGCCATTTCCCAAGATTGTCTTACTGCTTACAATAAGAAAGAGAAAAAATTACAAGGCATGGCAAAGATTTGGACAATTTTGGTACATCTTAGTATTGAAATCAATGATTTTAATATCTTTAAATTCTACCCAGAGATTTTTATTTTTTCCTTTTGGGTTTTTTTTTGTTTGGTTTGGTTTTGGGGTCACACCCAGAAAAGTTCCAGGGTTATTTATTTCTGGTTCAGCTACCAAGAGTATTCGATATGCCAGACACAGTAACAACAAAGTCTCCAATGGAGACGTTACTGGGCCCGCTCGAGCAAATCGACGATCAACGGGAGGGCCTTTACCTTTACCTTTACCTTTACCTTTACCTTCTTTCAGGAATTATTCCCAGCCTCAGCTCACAGGACCACATGGTATGCTGGGAATCAAACCAGGGTCAGCTGTGGGCAGGACAAGTGTCCTACCTGCAGTACTATCACTCCAACCCCCAAAGATTTGTCTTGAGGATGTGCACAATTCTCTGCAGGCCATTCATTAAGTCTGTCCTCTCCCAAGGAACATGATTTTCCTATAACTTCCACTCAGTATCGGTGAAAGAAATAATATTCAAGATCTCTGCCCTCCCATGAATATCCTGAACTCCCCAAGTAAAAAGGAAGCAATTTAGCTTAAACTTCTCTGAGCCCCATTACATTCCACATTGCCTCTGATCAGTTCATATCTCACTTATGTAGTCATGAGGTTCTAATATCCTCTTCTCTGTCAGAGCTCTTCATCACCATCCATGATTCCATGTCAAGCGCTTAGGGATTATTTGATCCCTCACTTTGTGCCAGTTTAAAGGGTATTTCCTGGCATAGATCAGGTACTTAATAAATGTTTGCTGAATTAATAGCTTGCATGGCTATGTCTAATGTGTCAATATCATTATGACATAAAAACTATTTTCTAAACTAAGGAGAAATGGATTGTAACCTACTACTAAATTGTAAAATCAAGTTATCTGTTTTCAGACATAAGTCTTGTCTTTTTGGTATGTGACATAAAAATATAAAATGCATCACTTATAGTGGGAGTAGATAAAATTCCATAAAAATTTTTGTTTCCATTTAATATATAATGCATTTTTTTTAATTTGGGGGGGCAAGCAAGTTTGCCTTGTCCATAGCAGACCAAAGTTTGATTTCCCCTGCACTCCATATGGTTCCCTAAAACCACACCAGGAGCAGTCCTTGAGTGAGATTCAGGATAAAGCCATGAGCACCACCAGATCCAAAAACAACAACAAAAAATGGTTTATTTCTTTGTTGTTCTGGGTGACACATATGGCAATGCTTGGGCCCAGTGTGCTCAGGAGCCATCAAGGCAGTGGGAATGGAGGGGCGTGTGGTGCTGGGGTCCAAGCCAAGAACTCACATATGCAGGAGGCAGGTACTCCCCAGGTGAGCCACATCTCCAGCACTGACATGAATATCTTACTGTGGGTTGCTATGTAAAATATTTGAAAGGGATTTAAATAAAGAATATCTCTGATGTGAAATCAATTCTATACAGGGAGGCCAATAATACCGGAGTTCTTCAGAGATGGTCACAAAAATGAATTCCTGTAAAGAAGACCCTCACCCATAAACCTCTGAGAACAATCTAGGGTCTGAACTGATTCACTTATTTCTGTTTCCCCTTTACTAGCCAATTAGAATCTAGGTATGTCCAGAGTGACCCACTTCCTCTTCTTTAGTTCCTAAAATATGGTTCATTTCCCAGGGTGGAAAGACTTGAGCCTATTTAATACATATCAGTGTTGCACTAAAAGGCAACTGAAATTAAGGGAGATGGATATTTTTGACATATATAGAAAATTTAGCAAAGCAAGCATTTAAAGGATAATAATGAAAAATTACAGAATATGATGAAATTAACTGAAACAGATCCTAAATGAATGGAAAACCTGGGTTTTACAGCTGTACTTGGCATTCCACCCAAAGATCAGAAACGAGACGTAATTTTGCGATGACAGATAGCAATTGAACATAAAGAGAGTGGGATGGGAATACCAGGGTTACAAATTAAGCAATTGTAACCTCATTGGGTCTGGATGAGAGACTCCTCATTCACAATTTCTCTTTTTTTATTGTAGGAGTACTGTTATTTATTTGGGCATTGATTAAGCTGATGGAATTGGGTATGAATTCCACATTACGTTTTTTAAAAAAGAACTTTAAATTGGATATTTGTTCATTCACAATTTCTTCATGGTAATATGATGACAACAATAAAGAGTTTCCCCTGCCCCCAGAGGAAGCCCAAGCAAGGCTGTTCTTACTTTCTATCCATGTCTGATGCAGCGGCATAGTGTAAGGCTGTCCGTCCCCAGTCATCTATTTCATTAACATTAGCCCCTGTGGTCACTAATGTCTCAATACAGTGGAAATGACAATTTGCAGCTGCATAGTGCAAAGGGGTTCTGAAAAATAAACAGAAATTACTTCATTTGGTCTGAAAAACAAACAGCATCAATAGCATTAGTGCTGACAGTTGTATTCCTAGGGGGTGTGGAAATCTCTTTAGCTCTTAGAAGTGTGGAGGCCAAGGGATAAACCTCGCTTCCACTTTCTAAATTAGACCTGAAACAACAAAGATACTGTTTCACAAAAGGCTATCTACCCATGGATTTATAGTGTATTTCCATTTCCAGTGCTTGTCCTGGCTCAGTCTATTTTACTGCTCTTTTGGACGATTTTGATGCCATCCCTATTTGCATTCGTTGCTCTATTAAAGCTACCATTAGAAATCTGGTCAGGATGAATGAAGAACTGAGTCTCCTGAGACCCAATACCTATGAATGACAATCCTGTATAAAACATCTTGTCCTTTCCATTGAACAAAGTCTTGATTCCTTAGCTTAGAACTGAAGACTTTCACAAGCTAGCACAAACCATTACTTTTTCCAAATAAAATGATTTGAGATTTTTTTCCTTTTGTGTTCACATTTCTCTCTTCCCTATGAATGCCCCTTCTTGAGTCACTACCACCCATCAAAACCTTATATCCTTTAACTTCCAGAAGTTCTCTCTTTTACTGAGGTTGTATAGCTCCTGTCCTGGTCTCTCGAGTTTTCTTCACTTACTGCCTTGATGCTACCTACTGTTATTCTTTCATATTCTCCTCTCAACTAAAAGCTTCTTAAGGGAAGGGATATAGTTTAGTAAAAGAAACAATGAACAAAGAATCAGAGTCCTAGAATTCTAGACTAGATAAATTTGCAAGTGGAGTCAAATCAAATCTCAAGGGGTTTGTGCTTGATTGGTGCAAAGAACTAACAAGGTAAAGAAAAGTTCTATGACTCATTCCAACAGCCAAAGGGACTATTGTGGCTGTGTGTATGTGTTGTTTAAAATTTTAAACATGCCTAAGGTTTACCCCAAGTTGAGATGTCCAATAAATGTAATAAAATAAAATGTAATAAAATTCAATAAATGTAAATGTATATTAAAAGTGTATATAAATTTCAATAAATAAAGTTCAATAAATGTAATAAAATTCTTGTGACCAATTCTGAATTTGAAGGGTTAAAGGTAGAAGAGATAGTACAGGGGTATAAGACACTTGCCCCGCAAGTGACTAACCCAGGTTTGATCCCTGGCACTCATATGGGCCCTCTAGTACTGCCAGGAGTGATGTCCTAAGCACAGAGTCAAGAGTAAATGCTAAGGACGCTGAGTGTGGTGCAGTTCTCCACCCCCAAATGAGGGCTGAAGTAGTCTACTCTGCTACAAACAGAATTTTTTAAAACTACAAGGAGTGGGGAGAAGGAAGGTTTTTTAAATACATGAAGAAGAGACAACTGGCACTCCTAAATAGAAGCTATGGGAAGAAATGCTTTTTTCTTTCTTTCCTTCTTTCCTTCCTTCCATCCATCCATCCATCCTTCCTTTTTCTTTTTCTTTTTGTGCCCGCTTTTCACTAGGAAAAGGATTTCCTTCTGAGGACAGAATCCCCCAAGCTAGTTACACTGCTGGCCATTTCAACACAAGGTGATTTCCAGACAGACTGGCCCTAGTTCTTTTACTTAGGCACTTAAAGCAGAGTTCCCTGTTTACATACCTCCCACATTTGTCCTTTTTATGGAAATCTGCTCCGCTGCTCTGCAAGAGTTTTATACATTCCACATTACTAGAAAGACAGAGAAAACATCATTAAGATGGTAGGGGTCAGTTGCTGGGCTATCTAATAGAGTGAGCTGTTTTCTGCAGAGCACAGGCCTAATGAAATGAAGCTCCAGCTTGCAATTCTGCTAACATTAAAATAACCTGAACATACCAGAACAATGGCACATGGTAAGCACCTACATTTTCTAAAATTTCCTTTTTCAAAGTTAATAAATCAATACATTAAAGAACTTAACAGAACATTTTCATGACTATGGAGTTCAAAAACTATGAAAGAACCAAATCTTTCAATGATAGTCTCATTGTTTACCCCAAAATTATCTTTCAAAACCATAAAGAGTTTATGGGGCAACCCCTCAAACCTATAATAATTTCATGTCACCTTTAAACAATGAGCCAGAGTGGATGAGTATTGCCTTTCATACAGCAGAATAAATACACCACAATAAACATTTTTTCCCAGATTCTCCTTAATGCGAAATAAAAACAAATACCCTATCTTTGAAATCTAGTAATAAATATGCAGAACCAAAGCTAAACATGATGTAATGCAGTCCACCGATCTTCCAAAACTGCTTTTGTCACTCGCAGAAGCAATAAATCATGCTTAGTAGAGAGAAAGGAACCCATCTAAGTGAATTTTCCTATTGAAGGACATGAAGCCAAAATAAATTTCGATAAAAGTTTTAGACATAAATTCAGAAGGATGTGTTGCTGCTTTCCATACAAGCCACATTATTTTTTAAAGACAGGCATGGAAAGAGACAATTATCTATTAGTTCTAAAATGGGGATGCTAAAAAGCAGCCTAGGATTTACTGCTTTATTAACATTTAAATAAGAAAAATGATCTCATTAGTGACAGACCTGAGCAGGGCTCTCCCCACGTTACATTTACCCTTTATAACCTTCCTCAAAGAACTGTCTGTTTCAGTCACGAAATAGAAAAACTTCCTGAGAGCACAGTGTGTTGTGTAACACTGACATAAAGTATTTGTTTCTTATTGAATGGATTAAAGGGTCAAGGGCAGAGACAGATTTAAGTTACTTATCAAGATCAAGCAATTTGAGGATGGGAAGTGGGAAAGATTCTTTCAAAAATAACACAAAATTATGAATATGAATATATATGGCTTCAAAAGGACCTATTCTAATAAAGGTCCCCACAAAACATCACAGTCACCCCATTTTTTGGAGTCATACTCTGACAAATAGGCAATGTCTTTGGTGATATACAGATGAGAAAGGGGGAAGTGTTGCTGTTCCTTAAGGACTAGAAAGTTGACTATGGAGCAACATCTTATCCAAACAATGTCTATGTGAGTGGCTGTGTTTGGTCCATGTGTGATCCTATATAGATAACATATTAATTGAAGTCTTAACCACTGATTTTAAATGGAGTATCTGATGAAAAAAATCTCTTTATCAATCAAAAAGGGGGGAGAGGAGAAAGGATGAAATCATACCCTACTTATCATTTGGGTTTTCTTGGCCCTTTCTCGCATTTACTCCATATTAGGATTTAAAAGCAAGTTTAGGAATAATAACAAAACATTCAACAAATAAACAAGATTCAACTCAATCTTAAGATACCCTCCCTTATCACCCACAGATTGAAACAAATCTCAAATTATTTCCTTTGAATGAGACTGTATCAAGTAGATACACATTCAATATGCTAAAGAACTAAGATTTAAAAGAGAGACCAGGAGAAAAGGAAACAAAAACAAAACCCCTAGTTTCTACATGAAACAGGTTAACAATTTTTCTATGGAAGAACAAAAACTTGAATCTCTGGAGATGCAACATCATGACATTTGGTATCAATAGAAATGATTCCTGTGAACTAAAAAAAAAGTGCTTTTGACTCACAGAATGCTTAAGTAAATTAGGGTGAATTAGTAATTGAGTCAGGAAAGAAAAAAATTGTGGTAAATAAAATTGCTAAAAGACTCACCCTCCTGCAGCAGCAGCATGAAGGCACGTTCTTCCAAATTTATCTGGGGTGTCTATTTCAAAGCCTGCAGACAGCACGTGCTCATTACTAAACAAGGATACTATGCTATACTTTTGTCCTAGTTAAACCACAAGAAACATTGCAGAGACAGAAAAATCAGTTAGTAGAGAAACCAGAATGCAAGCAATTGTAGTCAGAAAGAGGTTGTCATGGAAACGAATGGTAACTGCTCAGGCTTGGCAATTTTATAGGGAGAACCATGAAGCCAAGATGAATTTATTTTCACATTCAGCCCTGGGTGAACCACAGCCCCATATTTCAATCCCAGGATAGAAATTCATGAAACCAGTTTGAGATAAGTAAGGCAATAGACAGGCAGATGAACACAAGGAGAAAACATGGAAGGCAGAGCAGTGATCTTAACATGCAGGAATAGGTATTTTCTTTAGTACATTATTAGCTTTCAGTTGTTGCACAATGTGGGAAACATGCTTTCATGCAGAGATTATTTTTAAACCTGCCAACAGCAGTGAAAGCAAATCAACCAAAGGTAAAATACTTTAAATTAAAAAAAAGCTTCTGTGATATCTGTTCAATTAATTCATAAATAATCTTTGCCTTGCAGGCTTCTATCACCTCTGAAAGCCCAGGAACTTTCTAATACATGGAGGTTGGCAGAAGCAGTGATAAGGAAGATTAACAAAGCTCCAAACCAAAAATATTTCTTGGTTCCAAATGGGCCCGCATTAAAAAAAAAAAAAACCCTATGTTAAACCATGTTACAGACCAATTGTAGTGACTTTTCAGAATCTATGGAGTGAAAAGGAATGTGACATTCCCAACTATTAAATATGGGGAATTTAGCTCTTTGCGATGTTAAAAAATATTAAATCTTAGGCCGCTGCTCTAATTCTCAAGGATGCTTTCTCCTTTTATGACAAACTTTTCTATAAACAATGAGCAACCTTGTCTATCTCTCTCAGTTCAGATCACCCACACTTTAGCTTGAAAAACTGATTGCGACTCTCATTCTTGCTGCAGGAACACTGACATTCAAACAGCTCCAACTGCAAGGACTGCTGGGAGCTGTCACATAAAACTAGCTGTGGACACAACTCATCTTGCAAAGTCAGAGAATGGATGACACAAAGCACAAGAAGCCACTCACTCTGACCAGACACTGAAGCCATGAGGCACGTTGACAGGACACATGAAGCCTCATCTCTGCTAATGGAGGTACTTACCCGAAGACAATAACTTTCTGCAGCAGTCAGAGTGAGCATTTAGGGCAGCTAAATGTAAGGGAAACATGCTATGGATTCCACATCTGAGGAGAAGAAAAAAACAGAGTGACTCATGGCAACAAATCTCAAGATATATGCAGAAGCACGATATCTTTCTCAAAGGTCTTTGATAAAAATTAAGTCCATGCGAGGTGGCTGAAATCAGCAATTCTTCTACTCAATAAATGATTTTATAATTCTTCTACTCAACAAATAATTATGTACCTACTTTCCACCTTAAATAACAAAATCCTGAGCCTGAATCATAGTTAAAAATTTATATCACAATATATGTAGTTATATATAAGTGTGTAACATTAAAATCGATCACAATAATATATATATTATATATAATATATATATATAAATATTTGCAATCCAGGGATTGAATCTACAGATTCTCATATAAAAGCCCATGCTCACCTGTGCCTCATCCTCAGTCCCTAGAAATTTATATTTTACTTTATTATTTTTGAGGGTGGGGTTTCGGGACCATTCTCAGTCATGATGCTCAGAAGCTACTCCTGACTCTGTGCTCAGGAGTGACCTTAATGGTACTCAAGGGACTGTATGCAGTACCTAGGATTTGAACCAGGGACAGTGGGATGCAAGGCAAGTGCCTTAACTCCTGTACTATCTTTCTGGTCTACAGAAATATAGATTTTAAAGAAAATTTTTCATATAAAGGATAATTTGTTGCATGGAAATTTAAGTTCTCTTTTATTTTCTTTCACCTTAGCAATTTTAAGTCATTTCTTTATCAACTCAACATAGTAAAGTATTAAATACTATGCAAAGTGCTACAGATAGTAAGACAAATTCTCAATTTAGAAATGATCACGTTGGACAAGAACTGAGTGGTAAAAGTAGGTAAAGGGAGAAGAAAAGTGTCTGCCATAGAGGCAGGCTGGGGGTTGGGAGTGGGGATAATGGGAGGGAAACTGGGGACACTGGCGCTGGGAAATGTACACTGATGGAGTGATGAGTGTTGGAACACTGTATGACTGAAACCTAAACATGAACATATCTGTAAGGGTCTATCTTACAGTGATTTAATTTTTAAAAACTTAATAAATTAAAAGCAGCCTATTTTATGTTTTCATTAGAAAAGTACTAAATATTGGCCTAATGTGTGCCAAGCATTTTGTGAAAAGCTATTAATACTATATTACTGAAAATAGCATTTCGGATGTAAGAAAGAAAGCAAAATTTGTTGAATTTTTATGTAAAAATAACTAAAGTACATTTGTAATATATATCGTATATTTGCGTGAGAATATATGCATATATATAAGTATATGATTATATATGCGTATGTTTTGTGTGTGTGTGTGTGTGTGTGTGTATGTGCGTGCCTATGTAAAGACTATGGAAGTCTCAAAGAAATCTTGAGAAATCCAGTACTTAATTCTTGGTATTTTATTTAAGGAAATTAAAACCATCCTAGAAAATATATTATGTGTTATCTTCATTTCAAATGCCCAGAGCTGCTTAATGATGTATTTTTGCCCTAAATTCTCCAAATAGAGTGATCAGATTAAATAAAGTAACTGAAACTCTATCTAGTAGAGTTTCATTTATAACTTTTAATACTTATTATTCATTTTTAAAAATTTTACAGGTGAAAATTCATCTTCAATAGACATATAATACACATAAGCCATCCTAAGGATGCCAGACACAAAAACACAGAAACAAAAAAATATCATTTTGCATATATTTCAGCAATCTAGTGTATTTTTTTCTAATGATACTACAGAAAGAATCTACAAAAGGACATTTTAGGCAAATACACTGTCATGCAGTTCCCAGGGTAAATCCTTAAGAGACTGGCGGCCTCACTTCTCCATGAACCCAAAACTCTGTGCTAAGTTGTCATTCAGAACAGCAGAATCAGATATTCCTAGGTACTTATAAGCCATTTCTAATGTGATCATTTCTCATATCTCATTTTATTTCAATGGTGATTTCAGATTCTGTAAATCCTTTTATGCATAACACAAGCAAAAACACTATATACATTTATACTGCAATATTAATTATCTGAATTTTTTTCTCTGGTACAAAGGGACTTGTTTTTAAATTCTATGCTTCACAATTATATTTGCAGCCTTGAATACATGGCTTTTCTTTACTATCTCAAAAAATCATGAGTATTGTATCAAAGCATAGAGAATTTTAGATTTTTTGTTGATATTCAGTGGTCTACAGAATCTGACTTAGCCAGCAATAAATCACTTCTCTCTTTCCATGAAAACTTCTACTTGTTGGTGATTTTGTTTAGTCTTTCCTTGTTCATTTCCCTCTCCCCACATGGAGATTTCTAACCCTGTGTATATAATAGCTGGCATCCATCAAAAGATGCAATTTGCCCGTCTTCCAGGCATTGTCATGTGGAGGAGAAGTGCTTGTAATTGCCTCTCTCATCATTTAAAAAAAATCGTGAAAAGCAATTGCATCTGTGACAATCTTGATGCTCAAGAAAGGAGTGGTTTGGGGGATGGGAGAACCCACATAGCATAAATAGAAATATTTATACTATTTATATTACTCTTCCCTCTTGATGTCAGTCAAGCATACTAATTTTTAAAAATGAATAACAAGTATTAAAAGTTATAAATGAAACTCTACTGGATAGAGTTTCAGTCACTTTATTTAATCTGACCCCCTATCAGGCCCACCAACTGACCCCCTGGCGCCGTGTAATCCCATCAGCGGCCAAGACTCAGAGACTATAAAAACCAGTTCCTGGAAGAGAAGAGTGCAGTCTTCTGCCCCCGCGCCTGACTGTCCTCGCTCGCCAGGACCCCTTGGAGGGGAGCGGGTTGAGCTTTCCTCCCCGCCCCGACCAGGGCTACGGCAGCCAAAGACCTCCAGGACCAGCCACCACCATGCTGAGACCACTCTCCACACACATGAAGGTACTGGCAGAGGGACAAAGTCACGCGGGTTCCGGGGCCGAGATCTCCAAGCCTACTCGGATTTGGGCTGAGCATCCTCCACCCAGATCCTCCAAATTCCAGTAGGCGGGGGTCACACCCACCAACTGGCCCCCTGGCACCATGTAATCCCATCAGCGGCCAAGACTCAGAGACTATAAAAATCAGATCCTGGAACCGCGCGGCCGCAACATCTTATTATGACATCTTATTATCTCATTCCTACTTTGGACAAACTGGCAGGTTACCGAATGTAGCCTGCCCACAGGGCAGAGTCTGGCAAACTCCCCTTGGCGTACCCAATATGTCAAATACCAGTAACAATGATGGGTCTCATTCTCCTAAAGAGCCTTGAATATAATCTCAGGGCTAGGATGAAGGAGACATTACTGGGGCCTGCTCGAGGCAATCGACGAATAACAGGATGATTTGTTGTGATTTATGATTTAATCTGATCACTCTCTTTGGAGAATTTAGGGCAAAAATACATCATTAAGCAGCTCTGGGCATTTGAAATGAAGATAACACATAATATATTTTCTAGGATGGTTTTAATTTCCTTAAGTAAAATAGCAAGAATTAAGTACTGGATTTCTCAAGATTTCTTTGAGACTTCCATAGTCTTTACATAGGCACGCACACACACACAAACACACACACAAAACATACGCATATATAATCATATACTTATATATATGCATATATCCTCACACAAATATACGATATATATTACAAATGTACTTTAGTTATCTTTACATAAAAATTCAAACAAATATATTACAAAAAGAATCCAACTGTAAGAAATTAACTGGTAAAAACATAAAATGTATAAACATAGTATAAGAGCAATAGTAGTACAATATATTAAAAATTTATCAATATTTTTAGTCAAGCATACACATTAACATTAGTGCTTTTAGATAAATCATCACAGTCTATATTCACTAATTATTCCATTCTTTTCACTGACACTTAAAAGTCTAGAGGAGAGAATGATATTAAAAAGTCTTGCACAATAATAGCTGGGAATGATCATGCTGGATAAGAATTGAGTGTTAAAAGTAGGTAAAGGGATATTCTTTTTTTTTAAATTTTTATTAGTGAAACACCATGAGGTACAGTTGTAGACTTACAAGTTTTTGTGCTCGGGTTTCAGTTATACAATGATCGAGTACCCATTCCTTCACCAGTGCCCATTCAGCACCACCAATGATCCCAGTATCCCTCCTACCTCCCCCACCCCCAAACCCCCATCCCATCCCGCCTCAGTGGCGGGGCATTCCCTTTTGTTCTTTCTCTCCTTTTGGGTGCTGAGGTTTGCAAAAGAGGCATTGAGTGGCAATCATGTTCGGTCTATAGTCTACTTTCAGCATGCATCTCCCATCCTGGGAGGATCCTCCCTACACCCTTTACTTGGTGTTCCCTTCTCTATCTGAGCTGCCTTTTCCCCTAACATGTGCAGCTGGCCTTCAAGCCATGGAGTGAACCTCCTCATACTTATCTCGACTATTCTTGGATGTTAGTCTCTTATTTTGTTACTTTATATCCCCAGATGAATGCAATCTTTCTATGTCTGTCTCTCTCTTTTTGACTCATTTCACTTAGAATGATACTTTCGATGTAGTACCACTTGTATGTAAATTTCATAACTTCATCTTTTCTAACAGCTGCATAGTACTTCATTGTGTAGATGTACCACGGTTTCTTTAACCAGTCATCTATTCTCGGGCATTCGGGTTTTTTTCAGATTTTGGCTATTATGAACAGTGCGGCAATGAACATAGAAGTGCATAAGTCATTTCAACTATACTTTTTGCCTCTCCGAGATATAATCCCAGGAGTGGTATTTCTGGGTCAAATGGTAGCTCAATTTCTAATTATTTGAGAATCGCCCATACTGTTTTCCAAAGGGGCTGAACCAGTCGGCATTCCCACCAGCAGTGAAGGAGAGTCCTAAAGGGATAATCTTGATAACCTTTCAGTATTAATACTGCAAACCACAATGCCCAAACAGAGAGAGAGAGAGAGAGAGAGAGAGAGACAGAGAGACAGAGAGAGACAGAGACAGAGACAGAGACAAAGAGAGACAGAGAGAGAGAAAGAGC